CAATTGCCGCATGTTGCATATCTGAGGAGGCGCATGAGGACGTACCATTTTGTGATTCGGGCTCTGGAGCTTGCCGTGGGAAAGGAAGCTGAGCTGGAGCTTGACGCGGACGGTTGACGATTATGCGACAATGGAGATTTAAGTGGGTCGGTTCGGTGAGAGCCCGGTGAGTGGCCACCCGCACCACCAGCGCCGGACGCGGACGTTGCTGAGAGAAGACACACCAGGGTACATCGGCATGACGTCGATAACACTGAACACAGGTAGGTACCTAAGGAAAGCAGTCCCTGACATGGCAACTCGTACCAGGGTACCTACCTCAAGCAATAGAAAAGACAACACTTGAGATCCGCAATTTGAACTGTTTTCTTATTACAATTTGCAAGCTGTCGGCTTTCGAAAGCTTCTGAAAAGGCATCGCTATGTACCTCTAAGCATCCTATGACAAATTATCGAGTTATCCTAGTTGCGTTGCAAGCAGGGGTACTATCCGTATGGGCAAGCACCAATTCAATTTCGCCTCCATCCAGTTGACTTTCGGTACTCTCAGAAATGCAGGGAACACTTTGAGGAGTTCTTCTACATAATGACAAAGCAATTTTCATGCTTGGCTCAAAAATTCCACCTGTGCTGAATGTCCGCTTCACAAAAACAGCCTTTAGAACGCCGAACAACAAAAGAATGACCAACGTGGGGCTCGAACCCACAACCCCCAGATAACCACACGTCGCGGACGAGATAGAAGTCTGATGCGCTACCATTGCGCCAGCCGGCCAGATCTGCTGACCAATCGCTGATTGGGCAGGTTGACGGCGGAAGCTGCATCCCGTCTAATGAACGCTTTCCCGTGCGCAATCAGAATGCGTCTTGGGCAATCGCGATGGTTTGCAAATGCCTTAGAAGTTCGTAATGCTACCTAGGAAGACGTTCATAGAAGCCAAAAAGCTCTCATTGAATCTAAACCTTTACAATGTTCTATGGGGAAAAGCTTGACAAAGCTTCAAGTGCGCATCAAGTTTTCTTCCCCTCACCAACTTCCGATGCTACTCGGGGTTGGTGAAGAAGCTTTCAACATCTTCCTTATTACCCCACATTTGCTTTGCTAACGATTCCCTGGGGTCTGGGCAGGAGACTGGATTGCAGTAATACGAATCATTCTAGCTGTGTGCATGTACTTTTCTTCTTGTGGCCATGCTTGTAAAAAGACAATGGAATTTCCAAGTCCCAGCATATGCTAACAATCGGGGTATCAGTGTAGTGACTCACTTACCACTTCACAGGATATAAGTACACGCTCTGCAACCCCTCTTGAGCTTTCAACAATCACAGCTTTGCGAGATCGATTGCTTCAGCTGGATTGGCTTGGATCCCGACTCAAGCCCTGTGCCGCCGAAGAGCAAGACACAGGAACAAGAGCCAAAACTGCTGATAGGTATCCTACCTTTATGAATCCCTCTTAGCAAATGCTTACCACCCGCTTCTGAAATGTGACCCGAAGAGTCGGGAAGCCTTTAAGGTTATTCATAGGTGGTTTCACAGCCAATGAGTCTTGCTCGGTTGCTCTGGCAAAATGCTCATAGACTTAGTTTACTGGGTGAATGATGTAATCTCTCAATCGCTGAGCCCATTTGCACCAATCGAGGTCATGTTCATCGTCAAGTTCATCTTCGCCCTGTTCCACTTTGTTGGTAATAAAAAGTAGTGTATGTTACTTGACTGCACTCAGGTGATGGCGTCTCACTACCTACCTTATGTGAAGAGCCTTGACTAAGACAGCTGTCTGCCATGTCGTTCCATGCTGTCTCTTCGGTTTAGAGCGGAGCCCCGACATATTGCTCTGAACCTCGAACTGGAACCAGCTCCGAAAAAATGGTCTTCTTAATGATGATAAGGTGGTGATCGTGGTTCAGATAGGCTAGCGGACGAAATGACGAAATCGCAAGACCCGATTGCGAATGCCGTTGACATTGTCGAAATACCCATTTCGCTGACCTGGAGCCCAGCCGGTTGGTCGACCGATGAGCGGGCGCCGTCCGACGACCCACCAGCGATACCACCGAGCTACCGGGGCCCCGTGGGCTAACACCGCAACACGCTCAGGCTTGATTCTCTTACTAGCTTTTAGGGGAAGGTTCCTGCCGTTGTAGTCTACTGAAATGTGGGAGCCGGCAATGGAGGTGCTGCGTCACTCATAACACTTACGCGCGACATATAACAGTTACTTTGCAGTGCCTGGAAGCACATATCTCGATCTCAAGGCGGCTTTTCTGTTCCTGCTTGGTTTTGGAGTAGATATCTGTGAAGTTGCAAGATCACAGGCTTCACATTTCACCATGTTGCCAATTCTTAGCCTGTCAACGTTGGCGACACTGGCCCTCGGTGCCTCCGCTGTCATCGCTCAGAGCGTGCAGCAGCGTCAGCCGAACATTGTCTTCATCTTGACTGATGATCAGGACGAGCAACTCGGTTCCCTTGACTACATGCCTTATGTTCAGAAGCATTTTGTTCAGCAGGGAACATACTATCGCAAACACTTTTGCACGATCGCAATTTGCTGTCCATCTCGTGTCAGCTTGTTGACGGGGCAAGCGGCGCACAACACCAATGTCACATATGTTACTCCCCCTCACGGTAAGTCGTAAGCATCTACTGCCAATAGAGTGACAATAGTCTGAATATTCTCATAGGTGGCTACCCGAAATTTGTCTCCCAAGGTTACAACGACAAGTATCTTCCTGTCTGGCTTCAGGACGCTGGCTACAACACGTATTACACCGGCAAGCTCTTCAACTCTCACTCTACCCAAAATTGGAACAATCCCTTCCCCAAGGGCTGGACTGGGAGTGACTGTAAGTCATTGACAACACCTAGAATTCGGGGCTTCATTGCTAACTCTAGCCTAGTCCTTCTAGATCCCAACACCTATCTCTACTTGAATGCAACGTTCCAGAGAAACCAGAGCCCACCTCAGACTTTCCCGGGCGAGTACAGTAACGACTTGGTTGCCGAAAGAGCTCTCGGCTTCTTGGATGATGCTCTCAAGTTCAGCGGCAGCAAGCCTTTCTTCTTGGGTGTTGCACCAATTGGTCCTCACAACAACGGACTTGGCGGCGAGACCAGTGCTGGTGCGACACCACCCATCCCCGCGAAGAGGCACGAAAACCTCTTCTCAAACGTGACTGTTCCTCGCACTTACAACTTTAACCCTGACAAGGTAAGACTATCGACTTCTTGATCCAAGTCGTTGGTCGCTTACGCTACTTTTATAGCCGAGCATGGCCAACTGGGGTCTCATCATCCCCCAGCTGAACGCCACCGAGATAACATACGGTGACAATTACTACCGCCGCCGTCTCCAAACACTGCAGTCCGTTGATGAAATGGTTGACGCCGTCGTCAAGCGTCTCGATCAAGCCGGTGTCCTCGACAATACCTATGTCATCTTCACGTCTGACAATGGCTTCCACATTGGACAGCATCGTCTTAAGCCAGGAAAGACTTGCGCGATTGAAGAAGACATCAACGTGCCCTTCTTGATTCGCGGCCCCGGCGTGCCAAAGGGCAAGACTGTGGACTTTGTCACAACCCACACCGACATTGCTCCTACCATCTTCTCGTTGGCCAACATCACCCTACGTGACGACTTTGATGGTTCTCCTATTCCCTTCTCTGAGAATGGGATCCAAAAGGCCCAGAATGACCCTAAACATGATCACGTCAATGTTGAGTTTTGGGGTACTCAACGCGGATATGACGCATTTGGCGGAGGTCAGTTCATTTGATTCATATTGCATCGTTCCAAGCAACTTGGCACTAACGTCCCATTAGCATCTGCGAACAACACTTACAAGGCCATGCGTGTTCTCGGCGACAGTTATAGCCTGTTCTACTCAGTTTGGTGCAGCAACGAACGCGAATTTTACGACATGAAGGTAAGTCTGATTTCTAGGAGTGGATGTCCATAAATCATGACCAGTTACTCACTCCTGTTATAGAAGGACCCAGGTCAGATGAACAACCTTGCCGGAAGCGCTTCAGGTCAGCTTCTCGATCGTCCCTTGTCCGTCGTCCAAGACCGTCTTGATGCCCTTTTATTGGTCCTCAAGAGTTGCAAGGCCGAGACTTGCAGGCTTCCATGGAAGCACATCCACCCTGAAGGTGGCGTCGAGAACCTCCGGGATGCACTTGATCCCAAGTTTGATGAGTTTTACGCCGGACAGCCCAAGATTTCCTTCTCAGACTGCAAGGACTTCTACGACATTGCTTCTGAGGGAGCGCAGGATACTTTGGTCCATTACGACCCGTGAGTCTCAATTAGAAATATTTATGACTGAGGATGGGTGCTGAGTGAGTTTGAAGTGCGATGTTGGATGAAGGTCTTCTGGACGAGCCATCGCTTTCGGAAGAGCTGTAGTATTCGGGCCTTCAAGTAAATGTCTGCTGATCGGCTTTGCACCCGAGGAGCCGTGCATATTGATACCGACAACATGAATCAGATACAGGAATATTGACTTGCATTCCGTATAGGTCGGTGGATTGCATAAGACTCTGAGGCCTAGTGTGATGAATGTGAGAAGAAGGCACTATTTCCATGCTAAGAGCCCGGCCTCGGTCCGGCGTCTTGTGCCGATCGCCTAAGACACCGAGGTGTCTTGGGAGATGGGACAAATCCGTATAATCCCATTGGCTCTCCGCACTTTTGCTCCAAATGCCGAAAGCCGTCAATATCTCGATAAAAGACCTAGCTGCTTCGCATTCTTCAATATTATTCGTTGTGATTTACTCAAGAGTCATTAGGGTAAAACGCTGTAAATTTGTTCTCGTGGTTGCTCGTCCTCAAAAGGAAGCAGGCTCCGTGTCCTACCGAAGCAATGACCGTCGGGCCTGCCCTATCTAGCGATTCATACTATGTTCAGTTCAGAACATCGGCGGCTTGAATACCTTGCGTTTGAACTCTCTTCCCAGTATTGACAACCACGAAATTCTCAGGTCTCGCTCAGATGGACAGCGATAATTACGACTCCCAGTCGGGCGATGACGCCGAGAAGTATTCCGTGCCTTCGGCATGGCCACCCACCGACCGGGATTCCTTCGAGGTATGTTTTAATGGGATCGACGACCCTTTTTGCCCACACAGCATGTCACTGTTTCGGAAGTGGGCCATCGTTACAATACTGTGCAATGTAACGATTTGCGTGTAAGTAGAACCCCCCGAAGGCAGCCTCTAGTCTATTCCAAATGTAGCTGATACTGACCATCGCATCATCCAGTACCTGCACTAGCTCAGCATACACATCCACATACACCCAGATGAATGCCGAATTTGGCACATCATCTCTTGTCTCCACTCTCGGACTGTCAACGTTCCTCTTGGGTATTGCCTTCGGGCCACCAATGATCAGTCCTTTGAGTGAGTATTACGGACGACGTCCCATCTACCTCGGGACATGGTCTCTTTTCATCCTTTCGACAATTCCATCAGCAGTTGCAAAGAACATTCAAACCATACTGGTCACTCGATTCTTCAGTGGTGCCTTTGGCGGTACCTTCCTCTCAGTGTCAGGAGGGACCGTGGGCGACATCTTCCTACCACACCAAATCCAACACCCCATGTCTCTTGTGTCGCTAGTGCCGTTCATGGGGCCTTGCGTGGGCCCAATAGTCGGCGGATTCATCAACTACAACATCAATTGGCGATGGACCTATTATATCATGATCATCTGGTCTTCGATTTTGATGGCCATTATTGTACTTTTCACGCCCGAGACCTTTCATCCAATCAGGTTATACATGAAGGCCAAGCACCTCCGCCAACAAACTGGCGATGACCGGTATAGAGCGCCGATGGAGAAGAAGAGCGGAGATGTTCAGCCGTCGAAGGCTTCCATCATAGCAGCCTCCATGCTACGACCCTTACAGTTCAACTTCTTGGAGCCTATGTGCCTCTGCCTTAACGTATACTCGGCAATCTTACTGGCTATACTGTACTTGTTCTTCCTGGCGTTCCCGCGCCTCTTCCGAACGGAGTATGGGATGAACCTATGGCAAGGTGGTCTTACATTCCTTGGCATTATTGTAGGCATGTGCTTGGCTGCAGCATCATCACCAGTCTGGTCCAACATCCGCACGCGACTTGTGGAGAAGCACGGGACTAGCGAGCCGGAGTTCCGATTACCGCCGGCTATGTTGGGCGGGTTCCTGATACCGATCGGGTTATTCTGGTTCGGCCGGACGATAAGTCCCAATATCCATTGGATAGTACCAATCATCGGCTCCGGCGTCTTCGGCTGCGGGTAAGTCTATTGACTCCAATGAACATGCAAAAATGTATTGGAGAGGCCTAAATTCTCTCATTCCTTCACACTTATTATCTCATCGGAGACAAGGAAGTTCTTTGTCAGATGAAAGCTAATCGGTCCAATGCTACAGAACTGTTCTAGCCTTTACTGGCATTTATACCTTCCTCGTACGTTGAAGATGTGTCCCTCTATCTCAAGCGTTTCTTTTACTGACCACACTTTCAGATTGATGCGTATGCAAAGTATTCTGCATCGGCACTGGCGTCTAATGGACTGACTAGGTGCCTCTTCTCTGGTAAGTCTTGTTTTCTCAATAAGCCACGAGCCTTTCAGTTCTCTAACTCTGTGCGATTTCAGCTGCGTTTCCATTATTTGGCGTGCAGATGTATGATAGACTCGGTCACCAGTGGGCAACAAGTCTTCTTGCATTCCTTACAGTTGCTATGATGCCCTTCCCATGGCTGTTCTTCAAGTACGGCAATGCTTTAAGGGGGAAGAGTAAGTTCGCGCTTCATGACAAGATGTAGAGTCACAGAGAAAGTCCTAGAATATATATATGTATGTTACACACTTGCGCATTGGCGGCTTTATAATTCCTGATTTTGGCTTTGTCGTGGGAATAATATTCCAAGCTACCTTAGTATTATGTCCTCGCCATAAAGTCATTCACGGCAGTGCATTCTCTTGGAATAGCCCCTCTATATATCCTCTCGTGTCTTGGATATCACACCCTGCAAGAACCCATCCATCTGGACTTTGAGCAGCCGGCGCTCCTGCTGAGACCCGGGGAGGTTGAGTGGGGTTTTCCTCACTAGTGTCACACAAGGCCGGCAGAAGTCTCATTGCGTAACTATTGTGGTCCTTGGTCTCGTTGTCAAGATACTGCAAGACGATCGCCATGTGATTTGCGTCTCCCAGTTCCAAAGTTGGTGCTGGCTTTCCGGTGAACTCCTCGACTAAGATATCGCGAACACGAGAATAAGCTAACAGAAGAGTGTTAGTGATCTAGTCCTTTCGAAAGACGACTAATAATAACTTACATCTTGGCGAGTCCTGTGCAAACTGTTGATTTGAAACAGCACTCTCCAGCATCTTCAGAATTTGTACTCGCAGAGTCGTCTCCTTCAATCGAGCAGACACGACTTGAGTCATGAATTCCTCAGGTGAAGCGGGTATCTGCTGGATTTTCGTCGCTTTTTCTGCGTACTTGTTGGCTAGGGTGATGAGGCCGGTCCAGAAAGGATCCCGCAGCGCCATTAAGATGTCTTCCTCAGGGAAATACTTCCTACACCAAGACAGATCCTGAGAGCCGGCTCCGGCGTTGGCGAAGGATGGGACGTTCTGGGTAAAGACCGCCCGAGCGCTGGGATGTTTGTCGCTGAGGCGGGCCTGTAGGGTCTTGTGAAACTGAACTTGCCTCTGTGATAGAGCTAGTCTACTCGCTCGGGTCATATCGTCGGTGGCGATACCCTGTCGGGAATTATAACCAAAGAAGAGATGGTAGACATTGATATTGGGTAATGCATTGATGAAATCCCAGACATCATTATCTTCGCAGGGCGCGACCTGGAAGACGTCCACGAAAGAACCTCTGCCAACCCTGGCGACTTCTGCTGCTAAAGACTCTCCAGTTGCCACGGGGAGCTCTTTGGTAGGTCGAAGGTTCTTGTACCAGCTTTCGTGGGGCGCTGCCTGGCCCAGAACGTTGGTCTTTGTCTGGAACCATGCAGTTCGTGTTTCCCACCCAGCTGGTAAGGCAGGCTGATGCTTCTCAGCGCGGTTAAGATAATCGGACATCGCAAGGGCCATCTTGCTGCGTTCTTCAGCGCCTGTAAAGACTAAGATAACGCGGTCGTATTGAGGTTTAACAGGGTTCTTGATATCGGTTTTCATAAGTGCGACAGCAATGCCGGCCTTGTCGTCCATTTTCGAATCCGTTAAGACAACCGCTACCCTAGCCGCCATGGCCGAATGGGTAGCGATCCAACAAAGGACCGCAAAGAATAAAAAGTGACGAGTCATTTGATTATGTCAATGTTCACTTCTCTCAAGATCGAAGCGGACTGGTGTCACTGATCAGTGCGACTAGTCTATGTACTTTATATAATCAGTCGGCCTCATAGCATTTGCTTTCAAGTGAGCAGCTGGGGCCTACGAAGGGCTGAGCGTCGTATTGGTCAATGATCAAGTAGTATACCGTATGATTCGCCACATCACTCATAGACTCATATCACAAAGTCTATCATGGAGATGGGAGATTAATACCCAGAGCTCAATTGTAAACATCAGCCGGTCAAACTTTGTGACGAGCAATGGATTCTCAGGCATCTTCTATCAAGTGTGGAAGTTTATTTTATTATTTCCCAAAGGGCCGACCCGCCGTCCCGGTCTCTCCGGGGGCGGTGTACACGATCATAATCACTTGGAAGTAGGAATCTGAGCAACAATTCTCGTACAAATTTACGCCATTACCCACAGCGAGTGTCGATTCTCGTTGTAGTGAAGCGTCGATGTCTAGGCACGGCTCCCGACCCCATGCCCCCCAGATCTCAACATCAACTACTTTGATAATCATGACCGCCTCACCTTGCAGTGACTGACGGGATATAGTAATCATTTCAAGTAACTGGCAGAGACTCTCATCTTAGAACGAGAGTGTCTTGCAATCGAACAAAAACTTCGGAGTAACTTTTTTTTTCCGTGCCTGAGATAGGAGACCCTCCTGAAGCAGCCCAACCTCAACCTTGAATAAATTTCGTTATTCAACTGATGCCCACATCTTGCATACGATTTCTGTACACGGCCGAAAGTCTCATCGCCACCAAACCACCCAGCGCGATCACACTCGCTGCACTCTTCATCTCGAGAACATTGAGGACTACACCAACTTTTTGTCTCAGCCAGTTTCGAAGCTCAACTGTGACCAAGGAATCCGTTTGCAGCGGCATTGTCAGGTCGACGTCCTCATCTTGTCGCATCATGAAGCCCCGCAATGCTGCACCAATCTCCCCAGCCAGGAAGTGTTTCGCCTCGTCTGATTCCAGCTGCGAGGGATCTAACACACATCTCTGAAGATAATCTTTCAGAGTACTTTCTGATGTGTGCTGATCGATAGGACCGTCTACAGACACAGTCTTTGCTAGGAATCCGGCACGCGGATCTTGCTGCCAACCGGTTCTGTTTATGGAAGACGAAGACCGCATTCCGATGGCAAGCTGACTCGGATTTGAGTAGCCTTCCATCGAATGCAATAAGGGCTGCGTATGAGTCCTCTTCTTCGCTTGAGATCTCTCAATCATCAACTCCATGGCATCAAGGAGGTCCTGTTCATGAAGGCAATGCTGAGAAGTCAAGCGAAGAGCTTCGAGGCGATTGGTCTCCCTGGCAAGAACACCGATGTCTTCCATGATGCCAATATCAAGTACAGAACATGCTAGACCCTGAGAATGCCGGTACTGAACAAACGCATCGAGGAATGCGTTCCCAGCAGCATAATTGGCCTGTCCAATCTGTCCTCCCAAACCCGAGAGGGAGCTGAAGAGAAAGAAGAAGTCAAGAGGATCTCTCTGTGCTTGGAGAGCGTAGTGGAGATTCCAAGTTCCTTGTACTTTTGGTGAGACGGCAGTCTGCCATTGCTCAAAAGTCATGTCGGCGAAGTGAACATCCTGGGGCGTAGTAAGTATTTATCCAGAAATCAGAAAATGCCAGAAATAGGACATACCTGAAGTACCATTGCAGCGTGTAACACCCCAGCAATCGGAGTAGTTGCTGAGTCAACCATCCTCACCACATCCGTCATCTCGTTGACACTACCAGAAACGGCTTGAACCGTGCAGCCTAGAGATTCAAGCTCCTTGAAATATGCTGAGTGGGCGACATCTTTGGCAGATCTGGAAAAGAATATCAAATGACGAGCCCCCTTTTCGATGAGGAATCTTCCGGTGGCTTGACCCAATCCTCCAAGACCGCCGACGATGACATAGGTTCTATCCGAACGGAGAGATAAACTTCGTCGTAAGGGAAGAGCTTGGAGCTCTATGTTGCTCTCGGGCATCTTGATAATAATTTGGCCGATACGCCCTTCACTTTGCAAGTACTTGAAAGCTGACAGTATGTCAGAAGCTGGAAAGACTGTAATGGGCTGCGAGGGCTTATTGAGTCCAAACTTGTGGAACAAGAATGCCTGCTCCAGAAGACTGCAAGGTCTCATGTTAGTGAGTCAAACTTTGGATGTGGAAGATCTCAAGACTATGGTCTTGGAACAAGGACCTACCGAGTACTCTCCTCGGGCTGGTGAACTCTCATTTCCTCGAGGTCAATGTTCACCAAAGTTCGGTTGCGGCAACTCTTCAAAGTATCCGCCATTTGATCTCCACCATGTCGTACTTGTACCATCGTTCCAAACGGCTTGAGACATGCCCAGCTCTCCTGCATAGATTCAGGACGCGTGCTGAAGACGATGTCCACACCCCGGCTATTTGTCTCGTGTAGGATCTCAGGCACCAATGAGGTGATATCGGAGCTTAAGATACGGTTGCTCGGAATACCGTACAACTTCTGCAGATATCGGGCTTGTGTCGCATTCTCCGTCGTGCAGAACATCTGGGGCAGAGTTGAGTCAGGCTTTCATCCCAAATAGGTCCGCGCGAGGATGGACGAATGGAGCTTACCTCTGCACCGACCATTTTTGCGACTTGGATAGCAGCTAAACCAAGAGCACCTGGCTTTGAATGAATCAGAAGAGTCTAGAGAGTCAGCAGATGCCCAAGTAACGATGTGCTTATCTCGACAAGAAGAGCCTACCTGGTTCTTCCTCAACCTGCCAAGCTCCATAAGTCCATAAAGCACCGTGCTATAAGAGTAAGGATACGAAGCAGCCTCTTCAAATGTCATTTCGTGTGGAATATCTGCACAAAGAGACTCCGGGACGATGATTGTGGTGGCCAAGGAGCTACAGAGGTTAAACGCAACACGATCACCCACTCGGAACCGACAGGCCTTTGGCCCGACAGCTGTCACAACACCACTACCTTCAAGGCCGATTTTGGCGCAGGCGCTGCTGCTATCTTTTAAGTCACCCGATGAGAATTTTGAGTCCTTAAAATGATGGTCAGTGTTCCGAGCCTTTCAAGTCATTTCTAGATCTTTCAGTTGACGTACCTCTGCGTTCAGACTAACAGCTTTCACTGAGACTTCCACACGATCATCGCTCAGCGTCGTGGCTTCTGACTCTTCCCATGTTGAAGATTGCAAAATTCCGGGCTTCTTCATCCTCAAAACCTTGGGTGCACCCTCGCATCGCTGGCGTAGGTCGTCGGAAACCTTGACAGAATGGAACCGACATATTTGAATCACCCCCCCGGAGCTGACATATTCAGAATCCGCCTTAGTGCCGTCAATGCTGCTTCGGTCGCCAAGAGACTCGAAGACAGTGGTCATGGCATTCCATCCGCTACCGTCGTAAGATTCCAGTTCAAGGGTGACCAGGTCAATCGATAATTCTCTCCGGATGCTGCGGGTCACACCCAGTGTCAAAGAGTACCTTGGGTCTTTGCAGTGAATTTGAGAGGCTGCAGTGATCCAAAGGAATCTCTCATCCTGCGCAGAATACAAAGACTTCTTAAGGTTTTCCCACTGGATGCTATCCATGTCATGAAGGAAGGGGCCTTCCAGATCTAACAAACACACGACGGCCTGACCATGGGGCAGCTCCTGCCCAAGGGAAAAGAACTGTGGGCAAATACCGCGGGATTCTAAGTTGCTTGTTGCTGCAACAACCAGATGATGACTTGGGTCTTGACAGATGATGCTGGTCTTGCTCATTTTTGGGAAGTCAGCAAATGGTGTGGCGACAGTGACCCTACCATGCTCTCCTGCGAAGGTAAAGGTTGAGACATTGTCGAAGCCAGCGTGACTTAGTTGGTTCAGCAATATGTCAGGACTGCCCAGGGAGCCGTAGCCGAAATCGAAGTTAGTAGATAGCCCGTATGCGAATCGAAGAAGGTTGGATTCGGGGTTCGCATGTTGAAGAATCAGATGACCTCGCGGACTAAGCAGTCTTCGCATGTTGATTATGGAGACGTTCGAGAAAGAGGATAGCGTAGGTTCGGAGATGATGAGATCGAATGATTTTTCCGAGAAGCCCTGTGATGATAGATCTACGTCCATCACGAACTGCTTGTAGGTAACAGCCGGTGCTGACTCGAAACAGCTTCTCAAAGAATTCGGCGGTTTTGAGAAAGCGCCGGTATAAACGTAGCTACCATATGGAAAGTTGATGTCATTGGAACACAATAACTTCGATAGCAAGTCATCGCTCTCTCTCGCGCCTATGTGTAAAACTCTCAACCCTGGGTTCTTGTGCCCTAGAAGTCGAACAAAGTCGGTGAAGTCTACGTCAGCTATGAGGTTGGCAACTCCGTCGAAATGGCTGGGCTGTGCGAGTGGCTTCATCGCATGGGGCAATCCGGAGAAGCAGTCTGCGCCAAAGGTATGCACGCGGAATATCGACACAGAGGCGTCCAACGCAGGAGTCCGCTTGCAAGACTCTGCCATTTTACCGATAGCCTCGAGCCTTGCCTTGTGATTCATCGTTGCGATGTCGAAAGCGTTGAGGACATCTGCGTACCGCCCAGTCATAGCCTTGCGATATGACGCATCAAGCCAACTCTTGTAGTTCACAAAGTGAGGTTGCGTGGCAGGAAGGAACTGAAGCTGAGTTCTCAGATCAACGATGCAGGCCAAGACCAGTTCATTCAAAACGTTGAAACTGGCATCCATTTCCCGACGGCGGAATAGTTGAGTCAGCTTCGTGAAGTTAATGTCTGGCATCCAGTTCAAAACGACACCAGCGTGAGGATCTTCTGCTTCTTGGTCACTGGTAACTCCACAGAGTTGAGTGACCTCTAAGCCAGAGATCTTGATCACGACTTGTCCATCGGAAATTCCAACAATATTGCTCTTGGCAATTACTTCAGCCTCATTATCGGCCCTAGCGACAACATTGATCTGTCCGGTTGGTCGAGCAACATACACCTCTTGGATGTAAGTGGGAACAACTAGACCTTGGAAGTTTCGCTCCAGACCACGGGCCTCGGATATCATTGCCACGTGCATGCTTGTGTCGAGAGTAACTGGATGAATCGAATAGGGCGAATTGGTGTAGCCTGCGAGCTTGCTATCCAGTGTTGCAAAAGCCTTGGCTTCCCTAACATGTGAAATGACGTTGGACAAGCCCCTGAAGTTGGAACCGTAGTTCAGACCATGTCTTTTCCAAGTGTTGTAGAATGAATTTGCTGAAGCTTTACGTGGTAGGATAGGCATGTCAGGGACAGCATGCCTCCGATCTGAGCCGGGTTTGCACTGGCCAAATACATGGCTGACCCATACTTCACTCCCATCTGCAAGTGAGGATATTGAGAAATCGTAAACGATCTTCTTACTCGAAGTCTTTGACTTTGACGGATTGAGTATCGTCACAACCTCGACTGGCTTTTCATCGAGAACCAAAGCTGCTTCCATGGACACAGCTTCCAGTGTAAAGTCCACGAACCCGTGAAGCTGCCTCAGAGCCTCTCCTATCATAGAAATGAAACCAGAGGCAGGAAGTGTGATGTTGTCCCGGATGACGTGTTCTTGCAGCCATGGAACATCCTCAAGCCGTAGAATACACCTCCAAGCGGGGCAGGCGTCCGAAATCTCTTCGACGCGAGAGCCGAGAAGTTCGTGATGATCGAATGTCCTGAAGCGCCAACTGCGAGAAATTCTGCTTTCTTGCCAATACTCCTCATCGTAGCGCCATGGATATGTCGGAAGATCTGTTAGAAACTGTCCCGGTGGATTGACGGCAGCCATGTTAATATTGATGCAGGCCACCCAGAGCTCCCCTCCAGTCTTCAGAACGGCTGAAATGGCATCCTGATTGCGCACCAGCGTCGGTATGTATTGGGCAGGCATGTTTTTGAAGTTCAGGATTTGACGGATAGGCCCGGCAAGGGCGGAGTGAGGGCCAAGCTCGACGAAAATTGGGGATTTGAAATCGTCTAGGACTCCTTGTACCGCTGTATTGAACAGAACAGGCGAGATGACGTTACGGACCCAATATGTGTGAGACATGTCTGTGTTCTTCTCTCCTGTCACAGACGAATAGAACGGGATTCGCGGCTCCTTGTTCTGAAGCAGTCCCTCCAGACGGGATGTGAAATCTGCGGCGGCAGTCTTCATATGATCTGTGGTAGACATTAGTCGGGCGATCACGATACGAAACCAGGAGCGGTGTAACATGAACTCACGAGAGTGGTATCCGCACTCAACGCGGAGCTTCCGGGCGAGAACATCTGGGTGCTTAGAGCTGAGCTCCAGAAGAATCTCCTCAAGAACATCGCTCTCGCCAGACAGAGTGACATTTGACGGAGAATTGTCACAGCCGATGATGACACCTGGGCGAAGAAACCGCCCAACTTGTTTTCTGCCAAGACCAACTGCTGCCATGCTGCCATTGTGTGCAGCTTTTATGAGACGAGTGATCTGACCACGGTGATAGGCGATCAAGATAGCCTCTTCAGCTGTAATTGCACCAGCCGCATAGGCAGCAGCGGTCTCGCCCGAAGAATGTCCCACTACTGCAGCTGGCACAACGGCCCATGAGCGAAGCAAATCGACGAGCGCGACTTGAATCGCAACCAAGCATGGCTGCGAAAACTCTGCTTCATGGAGGCGACTCTCTCCTTTCGGGGCAGATAGTAATTCTGAGAGGTCCAGATTATCAGTGGGATTCCAGCAAGTTTCGTAGATATACCAACCTCGTAGTGTCCATGGTGGAGGATCTGGAAGACCTGCAAGAACTCCATCCATGGCATCGATCCTGTCTTTGAACAACCCCTCTTGCTCTAGAAGTTCTTTGCCCATTTGAGCCCATTGGGCCCCTTGACCCGTGAAGACCCAGACTACATCTGGCGGGGCCGTTGTTGCTTTGACAACTGATGAAACCTGAAAGGAACTGCAGCCGTCGGTCACACAGAAAGCTCGATATGGGTGTGTCTCTCGATGAGATGCTAATGAGTGTGCGACGTCGCCCAAGCTTGCAGGTTTGTGACTCAAATAATTTTGAACCTTGAGGCCCATAACACTGATTGACTCAGGATGTGTGGCGGAAAGTGGCAAGAGTTGGTGTTTTGGAACGTTAGTCCCTGAGCTCAGGCCGTTTGTTAGGGTGGAAGTTGATAGGCCAAAGCAAGAGGCAGATTCCAGCAACACCTACAGAAACCAAGTTGTCAGCTCATAGAAATTCTAGATCCATCAAATCGAAAACCCACGTGAGCGTTCGAACCACCGATACCAAAGCTGTTGATTGAGACCCGCTGATCTTTATCAGTTGGCCAGGGTACAGGCTCTGTGGGAACTCTGAGTTTGGCACTCTTCCATGGAACTTAAGTCAGAATTTTATCAGTGACTGCTTCCAGTGGTGCTGCACTTCAATGTAGCTTACTTCGAGGATTAGGAGTTTTGAAGTTGATGTTTGGTGGTATGGTGGAGTTCTCCAATGCCAGAACCATCTTGATCACACTGGAGAGCCCAGAAGCCCCTTCGCCGTGACCGATGTTTGGCTTGACCTAATAGATCTTGTAAGTAACCGATCTCGAAAGATTTTACATGGCTTTTAATTGCTTACTGAGCCGATATAGATGCCGTGATCACCCCAGATGTTGGCCACTGCACTGACTTCCAGGGGATCCCCAACCTAAGCATGAAAACGTTTACTTAGCCAAGTTGACATGTCTTCGAGAGTTCCTGCAATAAACTTACAAAAGTACCAGTTCCGTGACACTCTACCATCGCGGTCTTGGACAAGTCGGTGATCCCAGCCATCTTGTGTCCCCTTCTCATGAGCCTTTCGTGTATTTCAGGGTTCGGCGTCGTCAGTCCTGGGGTTCTGCCATTTCCCGCAGTGCAGGTTGACCGAATAACTGCCCTGATAGGGTCGCCATCGCGTACTGCATCCGACACCTTCTTGATGTAAATGGCAGAGACGCCTTCACCGCGCGCAAATCCATCGGCTTCGGCGTCGAAGCTTTTGCATGCTGCTGACGGAGACAGCACTCCGTTTTGCTGCATGATAATGGTGTCCTTAGGGCTGAGGATGAGGTTGACACCCCCAACTATGGCAGATGAACAGTCTCCGCTGTGGAGGTCTTGGCATGCCTGATGCAGTGCAACAAGAGATGCGGAACATGCAGTTCGAACAACGACGCTGGAGATGTTGTGAGAAATCATAAGAGATAAACCATGGTAAGAGACTTACCTCGGTCCTGTAAGATCAAACTCATACGACGCCCGATTGGCAATGATATAGTCTCCATACACATCAGGTCGAACCTGTTGGAGGCTTTGACTGTCGCGAGACTCAAGCTGACTCCAGTCTTCTCCCATGGTTCCAACGTAGACCCCAACATCGTAACCTCTCCATCTCGTGGAACCTGAATTCTCAAGGGCTTCATAAGCAACTTCGAGGAATAGACGTTGCCGGGGGTCCATGAGTTCGGCCTCCTGCTTTGTGAAAGACCAGAAGCTAGGGTCTACATGGGCCAGGTTGATGTCATCGAGAAAATAGCCAAACTCGCTGGGAACGTGGGCAGCTTTTCCACTGCCATACCAGGTGTCGATGTTGTAACGACTCTTTGGAACTCGACAACGTCCGCTTCTGCCGTTGACGAGGAGGTCCCAGTAGTCGGTAGCGTTATGGACGCGTCCTGGGAGTCTCACGCCCATGCCTATGATTGCGATGGGCTCATACAGACAGAGCTCTTGATGGGTCTCATTGCAAAAACCATTCATTGGGGGTTTGGTGCTATTGGTCATGGTGTCAAGTCGATGTGTAGAGATTGATAGTACAGTCCCTTTTCCATACTCACTGCGTCCTACCCATAAAAGCGACAACAGGCACAATGCTTGATTATATGCGGGCTTTTCTGGCAACTCTGTGGTTCAGTCGTGACAAAATCTGCTAGATTGTTACCGAAATAAGAGACATGGCTTACTTCGAGGCTATGAGTCCAAGAGTGAATCAGCCTTTGACATTCCAATAGCGTCAATCTAGGCATGCAAAGAGTTGGCGGCTAATTCAGGAAAACTTGATTACATTGGTTCTTGTCCGGGGCTCCCTACAGTCATCATCGCGAATCGGTACGTAAAGGAAACTTCCGAGGTCCGCACATCTGTTCATGTGGCCTGTGATATTCATGAAGCTGATTCGGTCGGGAGAGGTACGGCACAGGAGGAACACGAAGTTGACCCAACGATCCAACCGCATTAAGCTTACAACCCGACGGCGTTCCATATCTTAGGTCAGACGGGACTTCAGTGTGGTGGATATCCTTCAAAGTTCTCACCAAAGCTGAGGTGAAATCTGCCCCTTCGTTGGCTGCTTAGTCCACAAATATGCACTGTGCAGACTTGTTGGTGGTAAGTGTCGAAAAGAATACGTCAACACACCATCTTCTTGCGGGATGAACCCCTATGACATTTTTTCCAAAATGGGAGGAATGCGTGGTTTGTCGAGCTGCAGCACAACATCGGTAGGATGCGAAGGATCAAGAGTTGTACGGCACAGCGTCTTGGTGGTTGTCCCCCACCCACACCATTTGCGACCTGCATGCTGGCGAGGGAGGATCCGACTCCCCGTGTCCGCATACCGAATGGGTTGCAAGATATGGAGCAGATAGGTTCCTGCACGTTGGCAGATACTGTCACCGGAGTTGAAGAACAAAAACCTGGAAACAACTCCGAACATCACCGGGCGCTCGTTGTCTCAACTAACTATTGGTAAACGGCAAATTGTTAATATAGGTAATCAACAACGAGCACTCTCGGCGAAGTCTTCACAATCCGACACGTTTTCTTCTGTGTCAAAACGCCCCTCCATACTGACTTCACCCTGTGGAAAACCGGCTGTTGTATCTGACGCTCCAATCATCAACACGCCATCATATACGGCAGGGGTTGTTGACGAAGTGACGTTCATTCGCGGCGACCGTCTCTCAGAAGTCACATTGCAATCCTCGCTGAAGATATCTACACCGAAACTACGGTTCGTCAATAAGAGCCCAACGCCGTACAACATACCCCATTCTAATTATTCAACCTTTTCTAGCCTTTCAAGCTTTTGATACAGAGACGTCAGCGCACTGATGGAATTCCACGCTCCGGACCCAGTGCAACTGCATGCACGCTTACGGCCGAACGGTCTGGCCTGCATCGACCTCGCAACCAACCGCCGGTGGACGTATGCGGAACTCAACGCCGACATCCAACGCGCAACCGCGGTCCTATCCGAGAATGGGGTCCAGATCGGTGGCAGAGTGGCGACCGTATCGGTCAATAATGTCCATCAGATCATTCTGCAACAAGCACTGATGAGGCTGGGCGCAATCCATGTCCCGCTGAACTGGCGCCTCGCCCGGCCCGAGCTCGCGAAGCTGTTGGCAGACTGCACTCCGACCATTCTCTTCACAGATCACGACGACCCACCGGAACTGCCTCTTGGCTGTCGCCACATTGGGTTTTTGACATTCTGTGCGAGCGTGGATGCCGCAGAGCCTGGCCCTCGGCTGGAAGCGCGGCCTTTGCACGAGACGTGCATCATTCTTTACACATCCGGAACCTCTGGGGCACCCAAGGGGGTTATGTTGACCGGTCAGAGTATCTTGGCGACGACATTCAATTTTAGCATTTTGACAGAAGTCGACACGGGGAGTGTCTTCTTGTGCGACGGTCCCATGTTCCACTTCATGGGGCTCGTCGCCCAGATATGGCCCTCGCTCATGAGAGGTGGCACCTTCATCGTCTCTTCCAAATTTCAACCGGAAACAACCAATGTCCGCCTTAGCGATGCCGAACTCGGCGTCACTCACTACTTTTGCGTGCCTCAGATGGCCGAGGCTCTTGCCGGCGCATCGAATTTCAACCCATCAGCATGGTCAGCCTTGAAAGCCCTTTTTACTGGTGGTGCGCCCAACCCTCCAGCTAGGATCAAGTGGTGGCTGGGTCGTGGGGTCCGAATGGTGGATGGCTATGGATCGACTGAAATGGGGACTTGCTCTGGAATGCCGCTGTCAGCAGAGCTAATTAGCAGTAAGGCCGGTTCAGTGGGTCTTCCGGGACCGTTGACGGCGGTCCGAGTTGTGGACGGAGGTGACCAGGAAGTTTCCGTCGGTGAGCCTGGTGAGATCTTGGTCTCAGGCCCGAGCGTCACGACGGGCTACTGGAATAGACTAGACGATAATATGGCTGCCTTCACCCAGGACGGCTGGTTTCGGACTGGGGACATCGGGCGGGTCGACGAGGAGGGCTACATTTTTCTCATCGACAGGCGCAAGAACATGTTCATATCTGGGGGAGAGAATGTGTATCCCGCCGAAGTTGAGGCCGCACTGGCTGAACATCCCGGGGTATTAGATGTTGCAGTTGTGGGCGTTTCCGATGAGCTCTGGGGCGAAGCCGGGCGTGCCTATGTCATTGTAGCGCCAAACTCTCAGCTGACTCACAGAGATCTAGTCAGCCATTGTCAGTCACTAATTGCTCGGTTCAAGATTCCGAGAGAGACTGTCTTTGTCGGGAGCTTTCCTCGTACAGGGTCAGGAAAGGTCCAAAAGCATATGTTGACTGAGGACTCTGTAGCAAGACTTTGAAGTTACGAATCCATTTGGTTCAAAGCCTTTGCAACATCGAAAAATTGATAGCAATTGCAACAACATGTAAAAGAGTCAAGAATCCCTCTAATCCGCTGTAGAATGCAAAAGATTGCGTCGAGGGGGAATCGAACCCCCGGCTCCCCGACGCTGCGTGATGGCAACGGAGAATTTTACCACTAAACCATCGACGCTGATGATCAACTCATGTGGAGTTGTGGATTGAGATCGTGAGAGGGCCTAGGTCTGATGGGTTGTGGTGTTGCGGTGCTGCTGATCCTCGTACTCTCAATCCTAGAGCGCCTTTCGACTTTGCGACACAGTTGAGGTGGGCAGAGGAGACAAAGTAAGAATACCGAAAAAGCTAAATTCCTTTCCGACCATCGGTCTCACATAATCCGGATGGCGGGAATCAGATTGCGGGGGCACCACCGCGGTCATCCTATGTGTGGTTCGGCACGCGGACGGCAATCTTGTGAAAGTTGCTGACAAGGATTCGAATCCAGACCCCGTCTTACGGCGCAGGATGCAAGCTGCACAACTCAAGCGCGTCGACTAAACATCAGCTTGCTATATTGAGCATCAAAGTCCGTGTCAGCCAATCGCTGGGCAAAACTAACCAATGAAACAATCCTCGCTCAGCCTACGTGCTGTCACTCTAAGACAAGCGCTTATGATGTTGACAGCATCGCTATCTCACCGCGCAGCCGCTAAAGAGCCCCTCTATTGAGTTTGCTGTTGCCTAGTCACAATTTGGGGCCTTCGCCGAGGACGCCACTGACAATTTGCTCCTTTGTGATTGTCTGCAGCAAGTCAGTTGGACATTACCAACCTGGAAATCCGTATTTCCATTTCAGGTGGTCGTACACCCATTTTTCTTCCAACTTCACCATGTCTGATACCAGCATCTCCATCCTCCAAAAATGCCCGGCAGTGGAGCATTCTGGGGCTTGACCCCCATTATCGACATCCAAAAGACAACCTTGGCGTTGGTCGTCGGTGTCTCACTCTCATTCTACCTTCTCATCATCCACCTGACAGTACCGCTCCCAATCCCGGGCATCCCTTACAAACGGAGATGGCGATGGATGCCAGCGGGACACCTCGCCCCCCTCGGCACTTACTGGCTCCTGAGCGGCGAAGCATTCAGCTGGTTTTCTCGGGAATCCCTCGATCTCAAGTCACCGATCGTGCAGATATTCCTCCCAACCTTCTCCCTCAGGAGACCCACTGTGATTCTGGCCGATCTACCAGAGATCGAGGAAATTGCCATGAGGAAACTGGGTGAGATGGACAGGGCATCGCTCATCTACGACATGTTTGGCTTCATCATGCCGAACGCGACGTTCAGTATGAAGACAAATGACAAGTTGAAATCTCAACGACGCTTATGGGGCGTTGTTTCTTCATCGCAGTTCCTCCATGAGGTCGCTGCTCCCAGGTTCCATGAGTCCATATCACGACTCATCGACTTGTGGAAGCTCAGGTCCAAGGCCAACGACCAACAACCATTCAGAGCTACAGATGACCTCAAATCAACCGCTCTAGACGCCATTGGCGCAATCTCATTGGGCTTAGACCTTGGCTTGCTCCAACAAGAGATACAAAAAGTAAACCCTAAAGCGCAATCACTAAACAAAGGAGATCTTGGACCATGCAGGGATGGGCCGCTGTTGGTTCACTCAATGGAAATTTTGCTCCAATGTCTCAACTGGGTGACGACGAGCATCAGTGTGCGCCTGTCGAAGTGGGTTATAGGTCAGCTCTCATACTTTCGCCGTGCCCAGGCTGCCGTCACAAACATCCTCAACTATGAGATCAATGCTGCGCTTGTTCGCATTCAGAGTCAAAATGGAGACCAGAGACATCCGAGATGTGGCTTACAGGAAGTCTTGAAAAGAAACTCGATGTTCTACATCGACCCCTCAACTCAAGGCCAGATAAGGGACGAGTTATTCCAGTTCCTCATCTTTGGCCATGAGACAACAAGTGCCGGGCTCGGATGGGCGTTGAAGCACCTGGCAGACAACCAGGCTGTACAAGCACGCCTGAGAAGTGCCCTCGTTGACGCTTTCGGGCTCGATAAATCTGGACTCCCAACTGCTTCTGATATCGCTTCAACAGATGTGCCATACTTGGATGCGTTCATTGCCGAGGTCCTCCGTGTATCGT